AAAAAAAAAAAAAAAAAAATATCATATTCAATGGCAAAACATTGAAAGCTTGCTCTCTTAGAAGCCAGAATTAAAGATGCCAATGATCACCAACTGTAGTCGCACTGTATTAGAGGTCCTAGCTAGTTCAATGAGGGAAGACAAAAAAATGAAAAGCATTAGGACAAAAAAAAAATGTTTTTATCAAAAAAAAAGGTTATTATCCACAGACAGCCTGATTGTGTAGATAATCCAAAACAATACACATCAAAACAAACAGAACTAGAAAGCAGCCTTATATACACTACTTATGATTAATCTACATCAACGTTTTTCAACTGTTTGTATCTCACAGCACACTGAAATTATGTTGGTCAAACTGCACTTTGATCACACTTAAATAATGTTGATCAAAAAAGAGTAAAAAAAGAATACACCTTTATTTGTTTATTAACACAAACAAAATGCACCATCAGGACAAAAAATAAAACCATTTATTATAATTTGTAATGAACAGGTAACAATTAAAATTCTTAAAAACACTATTTTTATTTATAATTTCACACTTAATGAGATAACGGAGCTCAACCTTTTTTAGAACAGCGGTTCTTAATGTGTGGGTCGTGACCCACAGGAACTATATGAAAAGGCCGTGGCATTAGGAAAGTTGAGAATCACTGTTTTAGAATATCTCCTTTGCAAGGTTGAATTTTGGATAGGCATTCTCTTAAATCTTCTTCCAAGGATTCTGGCTGGGATCGATTTTTGTTTTTAATAGTCTTCATTGCAGAAAAGCTTCTTTCACATAAATAAGATGTGGAGAACAGAAGTATTTCTATTGCTTTTTTTGTAATATGTGGAAATTCACCCTTGAGAGATAACCAAAAGGTTGTAATATCTGTTGTTGAATATTTTAATTGCCATCCTCTGTTATTTCTTATTTCTGTTAACTCTTTCTCTTCTGTAACATTTAAATTTGCTGACATCTCTGCACTTAAAGGGATTTCTCATCAAATTCAGAGACAATATGTCAAGTGTAGGTACAGGAATATATTTTTCAAAATTTATGTATAATAAATCTAAAGTTTCTAAAATTTGTTCAATAAGATTTTTATTAGTTTCACTAGTTCAAACATTTCTACTGCATGTTCTCTTTTCATCCTTTCCTTCCAGGTGGTAATTTTTCTCTGAAAGCATTACTTTTGTCTGTAGACGTGAGAATATTTTCATGATTTCCCTGAGTACTCTTTTTTATTTTTACTTGTATTTATTTATTTATTTTTTGAGACAGAGTCTCAAGCTGTCCCCCTGGGTAGAGTGCCTTGGCATCACAGCTCACAGCAACCTCCAACTCCTGGGCTTAAGTGATTCTTCTGCCTCTGCCTCCCAAGTAGTTGGGACTACAGGTGCCCGCCACAACACCTGGCTATTTTTGTTTGCAGCCGTCATTGTTGTTTGGTGGGCCCAGGCTGGATTTGAACCTGCCAGCTCAGGTGTATGTGGCTGGCGCCTTAGCTGCTTGAGCCACAGGAGCCGAGCCTTCCCTGCGTACTCTTTACAAGAGTACTCAAATGCTGAAATAAATCTGCGAGGAATGCAAGTTTATTACACCAAACCTTGTTATAAACTAAATCGCCAAATTTAGAATGTTGCACTTTTTAAAAGATTGATAACTTCTTTTAATTCATAAAATCTTGACAGAATTCTTCCTGGAAATAACCATTTCACTCCCGTATGCAGGAAGCTGCCTATGAGAAGCATCCACTGAGGAACGTAATTCTGCGAATAATCTGATTATAGTGGCCTGCTTTTTCTGCAATTAATAATTTTAATAGTGTTGTGTAGGAACTTTTATAATTCAGACACTAATGATTTTGATGCTAGCACTTCTCTGTGTAGAAAAGTGTGTAAAAATAATTTTTGCATTCTTTTTTTTGCATAAGTGTAACAAATCCTTTTACACCTCTGGACATAGGCGGGGCTCCATCGGTACAAATACTTATGCAGGAGTCCCAAGACAAGTTATTAGAACTAAAGTAATTATTGAACAAATACAAAATATCTTGGCCATTTGTTGTTGTTTGGAGTGGTTGAAATGAAAACTGTTCTATGATTTCTTCTTTATATACAAATCTAATGAATGCTTAAAAAGTCGGGGCTTACTAATGATATTAGTAGATTCATCCAACTGAATTGCAAATATGTTTACTCCTTTGAGGTGAGATATATTACTTAAAATTCTATATTTTCAGATAAATCCTTAACATGTCAAGAAACTGTATTATCTGAAAGAATTTTTAAAATGTCATTTTCGTATTCTTCTCCAAACATTGCTTTACAATTGCACAGCAAGCTGATAAAATAACATTCTGCAATTGTATGAGATTTCATTTTCCTAGCTATGATTTCTGCAACTGTGTAACTCACTTCTTGTGCTTTATCTGATATTGGTGCATATTTGGTCCATAGTTTTTCAGTCTTATTGAGTGCAAATCATTTGAAATATTCCACTGGCTTTTCAGACAAGTGGGAATGTCTGGATTGTAAATACCTCTTTAATTAGAAATTGAAGCTAGGAACCATAGCTTCAATTGCTAATGTTTTGCCACAAATTTGCATGTAGGATGTGGTAGACTTCCTTTACTATGCATGAAACTGAATGCTAAATAATTCTCATTATATTGACAACTAATTGTTTTTTGTTTTTAACTTTTATTTTTATTTTATTTATTTATTTATTTATTTATTTATTTTTGAGATAGAGTCTCACTATGTCACCCTGGGTAGAGTGCTGTGGCATCACAGCTCATAGCAACCTCAAACTATTAGGCTTAAGCAATTCTCTTGCCTCACCCTCCCAAGTAGCTGGGACTACAGGTGCCTACCACAACGCTTGGTCATTTTTTTGTTGGAGTTGCCATAGTTGTTTGGCAGGCCCAGGCTGGATTCGAACTCGCCAGTTCTGGTGTATGTGGTTGGTGCCCTAGCTGTTGAGCTACAGGCACCCAGCCCATAACTAATTGTTTTTAATTTAGTTGCCAAGTTACTTGATGAAGCAGTATTCAACACAATATTGTTGTCTTTTAATTTTTTTCTTTACTAAAAACTTGTCCATTTTAATTGAATGCTATATAATAAAAATAAAAAATGCCAAATCAAAAATAATAAAAATAAGTAACAAACTCATATTTTGAAAAAAATTACAGGTATTAATTAAACACACCAAGAAAATTTTCAAAAGTAGGCTCTGCAAGGTAGCTATGTCCAAATACTTCTCTATTTCAAATCTAGACAGATCTCCATGAGACATTCAGTACAAGCTACACTTGCTTATTAGGTGCAACAAGGGATTGCTGAGCCATAAGTCTTCATTCACTTGGATGATTTCAACATATACTGATGTTCATGGGCAAACGCTTGTCAAGTTGCACTGTCTATGGACACATTGCAAAACTTTGTTTTTCAAGGCTATACCCCACCCACTTTAGAAATAAGCTGGTATTTATTATAACAATAAAATGTTTATTTATTATAACAATAGTATACTTGTATGATCCATTTAAAGAGGTTTTAATTTTGATATGTACACTTACTGTGCTTTGAACTTCTTTCAAAAATAATTTCATTAATGATCTTATTTATTTTTCATTGCGTTACTTTTATACATGATAACAATCTTGATAACAATTTGTTGAATGAATTAATAGGGAATGCATTTTCTGACTTGGGAAAAAAAATCATATTTAAGAGTTAAAATAATTAGCTGGAGAGATACAGATTAACCTATCCCATTAATCAGTTTGGTAGTACATATCGGAGCCTAGTCACACTCATATATCCTTCTTTGCTTTGATTCAATAATCTCACTTGACAGAATTATCTTAAGAGAATAATCTAAATGAAAAAAGTTAAATCCACAAAGATAATTATTGCAACATTACCTATAATAACAAAGAAGCAATGCTCTAGTTTCTCTGCAGAATGAACAAATCTTAATAATGAAAAAGCATCCAGCAATAGGTTGCTTACTTTATTTAAAAAAAAATTTTTTTTTTTTTTGAGACAGAGCCTCAAGCTGTCCCCCTGGGTAGAGTGCTGTGGCATCAAAGCTCACAGCAACCTCCAACTCCTGGGCTCAAGCGAGTCTCCTGCCTCCACTTCCCAAGTAGCTGGAACCACAGGCGCCAACCACAATGCCTGGCTATTTGTTTTGGTTGCAGCCATCATTGTTGTTTGGTGGCCAGGGCTGGATTCGAACCTGCCACCTTAGGTGTATGTGGCTGGCACCTTAGCCACTTGAGCCACAGGCGCTGAGCATTATTTTAAAATTTTGATCAAAAACATAGCTTGGGTCCTGCCTCCCCTAACCCTAGTCATGATCACCTTGGGTAACTACTTAAACTATATGACCTTTAATTTCCTTATCTATACAATGAGAATAATAATGGTACTACTTTATAGGTTGCTGTGAGGATTGAATGAGCTATTACACATAAAGCTCTTAGGACTTTGGATTATTAAGCATTCATAAGTATTAAAAAGATTAAAGATCAAATGAGAAAATATTGGTGATAATTTTAAGTAAATAAAATGTTTGAATATCATATTATAGTATATACATATATATATACATGTATACATATGTAGTTTTTTTTATAAAAGCCACAAAATTATTCCTTGTCTACTTGACTATGTTAAATTATATATCAATACAGATGAGAATAGAAGAGAACATGGACAAATAAATTTCATAATTAACAGATGGACTTGTGGGGTGATCTCTTCGTTTTGGTAAACTGTTGTTTTACTCAAGTTTATAGCACAGAAGAAATCCTCTAAACACTTTTAAGCAAACTTAATAGAGAAGACCCTGAGTTCCCACCTCCTTGTCTTGAATGTTAGGATCCGCGTTGTTCTCCATGAGCACGGCCATGCAGTTGATGTATCCTCCATACGCAGCACATTGCAAAGGGGTTCTTCCCGCGTAATCTTGCACGTTCGGGTTGATCTTATTTTCTATCAATATCTGACAAACATCAGCATTTCCTCCCAGTGCTGCCCAATGCAGAAGAGAATGTCCATCTTGGTCAACTAGATCTACCCTTGCCCCACCTGGAAAAGCAAAAATATAATGAAAATGTCTAATATCAATAGCATTTATGAAAAAGGATAAATGTTTAAAAAATAGCCCCTTAAATGCTTTACTCTGATTGAAATGCTTCCACATACACTGCCTACTTCCGATTTTTACAGTAAGCCTGTAGATTGGTCAGGGTAGGAATCATTCCCCTTTTATTACCCTCACAGGTATATGGCACACCGCCTAGGTGTGCCATACACCTACAAATTGAACTTTAACCTTCCAAATGCACATTACAGAATCTAAGTGTACCCCCACATTAATCTGAAATTTAAAACATAAAGAAAATAAAAAGTGCTCAAGGGCAGTGAAACTACTCTATACTATAATGGTGGGTCATTGTACATGTACCAGAGAATGTGCAACACCAAGAGCAAAGTCCCCAAGGATAGTCAAGGTGACCAGGCTGGAAAACATATCCAGATCCCATGTCTAAAAACTAGCCAGATATGTGGTGTATGCCAGAGGCTGAGATGGGAGGACTGCTTGAGCCCAGGAGTCTGAGGGTGTAGTGAGCTATGATGATGCCACTGCAGTCTAGCCTAGGTGATAGGGCAAAGCCCTGTCTCTGAAGAAAAATAAAGGACCCTAGTATAAACTATGGATTTGGGGTGATAAGGACTAGTGCATGTAAGTTCGTCCATTATAACAAATGTACCAGTCCCACGGGGACGCTCACAGTAAGGAAGGCTGTGCCTATACGCAGGGGTAGTGGGTGTTGGGAACTGTCTGTTCCATCTGCTCAGTATTGCTGTGAAACCTAAAACTGCTCTAAAACTAAGATCTATTCAAAAATTTAAAGAACAGTGAAACTGAGGATCAAGCAGGTGAAGTGACTGTTCTAAAACCAACTCCCAGCAAGTGGAGCTAGGAGTAGATCTCAAGGTTCCTAATGCCTTTTATCCTTCTATCTGTGCAGCTTTTTGCCAATAAAGTTTTATTTCAAACACAGCACGCAAGAATTCCTACCTTTTAAGAGTACTTATCAGAGTACTCCCAGTTACTAACCTTTAATGAGTGTCTGAATCACATCTTTGTGTCCCATCTCACAGGCTCGGAAAAGTGGAGTATGTTTCATGACATCAGTAGCGTCTACTTGGGCCTTATTTTCCAACAGTAACTTCACTGTGCTCACGTGGCCAGAAAGGGCAGCAGCATGTAAGGCTAAAAAGGAAGCAAAAGGAAGTGATGAAACTCCTTAACAACTTCCCTGTTGTATGATTCTAACTACGTATCTTTTCCTCTCTCGATTTCCTCATTATTTGGGCTAAATGCATCCTCAATCTTAAGGAGTCTCTCATTTACTTTTCACTTTGATAGGTTTCTACCTTCCTTCCTACTCACATGACATTCTTGCTGTTTTCCTTCTTTCCATCCTGTTGGTGTCAGTTATTGTTTAATATCTTTTTTGATAAAGAGAATGATTTCAACAGTGCTGGCCTTTCTGCCTAGCAACTCACTCAATAAGCACATGCTGCCACAGGGCGTGTAACTGGAGATGCCAGTGCACTGTTCTTCCCCTTGGTTACACTTCGTACCCCCTCAGCTGGGACATGTACTCCTGTGGTACTGAAAGCACACACATCTTACTACCTTGAGTGCATTTTCATCCAAATACAAGCAAGCTACTTCCTCAGGGCTCAATTTAAGAAGCAGCAGAACAAACAAACAACCCCCCCCAAACAAACAAACAAACACACAAAAAATCAAAATTAAATAAAAAACACAGCAATTCATCTCAACATTGGAGAAAAACAGAGAGACAAAATATGGCCTCCTCTCTGGTGCCTTCCCAAAGGTTTCAAACTGTAATTGTGACCACAAGTGTTCTGTGTTATGCTGACTTCTGCCCATGTTACTCCGCGGTAGTGTGTGACTTTTGCCATCACCCTTTAGGTTTGAAGGAATCATGATAACACATTCAAGGCCTGGGCCAGTTCTAGGTACTATGGCTCCATAAAGCCTGCAACAGTGTATTTTTCATAAAGAGTGATCCATAGAGCAAAGCTGTGTACCTATAAAAAGGCAAAATTTGGAGCTGGGTAATAGTACGATGCTGGGAGTTTATCAGGGAACAAAATAGATAAAGTTACATATAGTATGGTAGTAAGCAAAACAAAATAAACCAAAACAAACCCCCAATAAATAAAATATTGGATAGTGACAGATAGTATATCTAAAATAATACAAGATATTTTGATATGGAGAGTGGCTGGGAGATTACCTTTGACTGGTGATTAGGGAAAGCCTTCAGGGGAGCTGACATTTAAATTGCAATGGTTCTCACCTATAATCCTAGCATTTTGGGAGGCCAAGGTGGGAGGACTGCTTAAGGCCAGGAGTTCAAGACCAGCTTGGGTAACTTAGCAAGACCCCCATCTCTAAAAAAATAGAAAAAGTAGCCAGGCATGGTAACACACACCTATAATCCCAGCTACTTGGGAGGCTGAGGCAAGGGGATTGCTTGAGCCCAGGAACTGGAGGCTGCAATGAGCTACAATGATGCCATTGCGCTCTAGCTTGGGTAACACAATAAGACCCTGCCTCAAATAAATAAATAGATAGATATGGCTTGGTACCTGTAGCACAGTGGTTACAGTGTCAGCCACACACACCCAGGCTGGCAGGTTCAAACCTGGCCAGGGCCAGTTAAACAACAATGACAACAGTAACAACAAGAAAAAATAGCTGTATATTGTAGTGGGTGCCTGTACTCCTTGCTACTTGGGAGGCTGAAGCAAGAGAATCACTTAAGACCAAGAGTTTGAGGTTGCTGTGAGCTATGACACCACAGTACTCTACTGAGGGTGACACAGTGAGACTCTGTCTCAAAAAAAAAAAAAGATAGATAAATAAATAAATAAAACCTTAATCGTTAAAAAAAATGAGAGTGTATTCTGCACAAAGGGGACAGGATGGGACAGGATTGACTTTGTATGTTGAAGGAAGGCCATGATAGCTGGTGCCTAGTAAGTGAGAGTGAGATAAGCCAGAAAGGTAACAATGGACAGATCACAAATGGCCACACAGGTCACAGTGATGGACGATACTGCCGCCCAGGCTGGGGTAAGGTGGTATGATCACAGTTCACTGTAGCCTCAAACTCCCGAGTTCAAGCCATCTTCCTACTGAGTAGTTGGGGTTATAGGTATGCACCACCATTATGCCCACCTAAGTATTTTAATTTTTAATTTTGTAGAGATGGGGTCTTGTCATTACCCAGGCTGGTCTTGAATTTCTGGGGTCAAGAGATCCTCACATCTCAGCTCACAAAGTGCTGAGATTATAGGTGTGAGCCACCATGGGCTGGCTGAAAGGCTTTAAATAGGGGAGTGATAGTGTCTGATTTATGCTTTAAACAGATTGCTCTAGCTGTTCAGAGGAGAATGCACAGCAGTAGAATAGACCATAAGCAGGGAGACCGGCTAACACTATCGCAGTAAGACTAAGTGAAAAATGTCGGTGGCTTGAACCACTAGGGTGGCAGGAGGAGAGATGGAGAGAAACAGAAAGACTTAGAGTATGTTTTGGAGGTGGAGTCAACAGGACTTGTGGACAGGAGTTGAAATTGGATCTCTACTTGGTCTGGGAATCCACACTTAAACAAACATCCCTAGTAATTCTTAGGCATTCGTGAGTTTGAGAACCATTAACCTAAAGGACTGAACACTGGTTTGACCCAGAGAAGGCTCAGAGGGGCAGGAGCAACGTTAAGTATCTGCAGTGCTAGCATGTGGAAGAGAGCACAGAGTGAAACGCTCAGTTTGATAAATTTTAGGTCAGTATGAGGAAGAACATTCTAATAGAGAGTCAGGTAAGATGGAAGTAGTGGATTTGCTAAATTAGCACTTCTCAACCAAAGGCTTATGGACCATTGGTGAGAATGTTATAAGGCAGATGAAAGTATGGTAAAGTATCTGTGAGAATTCAGTGACTTTTACATTTTAAAAGCATAAGAACCATTTTCCAAGCCAAATGAAATTTTATAAACACTCAACATATAAAACAAGTGAAAGTTAAGTGGCTCTGACTAAATTAGAGGCGAAGGGTCACCTACTGTCTATTCTCAGCAGTACTTCAGGGACGTCTATAGAAATGTGTTGTTCTGGGGAACACAGTTTAGAAAACCCTGGGCTATGTTTAATTTTAAGGTAACTACTAATTTTGAAATGCTGTAATTCTGCAAGGTGGTATCAGGTACAAAATAGAAACTCTATAGATAAATAATATCAATGTCAAATTTAAAAAAGCAGACAAAATTTCAACTAAGTAGATGATAGGATTAATGATCATATTACGGTTAAAGACTTTACCATAAAATCAAATTGCTTAAAAACTCTTTATTTAAAAAAAAATTTGAAGAATGTGGTGGTCTCAGTATAGGGAGGAGGATTAGCCAAGACCCTTCGCTTTCTCCCCAGTATGTTTCTACAAATGAAACACCACGGTGTTGAGAAGCTCCTCGCTGAGTTTTTATTTTGTTCAGTGTCATTGTGCTGGTGTGTGATTTTTCTTCTCCTTCAAACATAATAGTCCTTAAGGGAGAGATGTCCTAGTGGATATTGAAGGCTAAAACAACTCTTTTTTTGGGGGGGCTGGGGCTGGGTTTGAACGGCCACCTCCGGCATATGGGGCTGATGCCCTACCCTTTTGAGCCACAGGTGCCACCCTAAAACAACTCTTATTAGCCAACACGTGGGTAAAGGCCTCTCTTATCAGAGAAAGAGATTAAAAGCAATGTCTAGTAAGAGGTTGATGCAAGGCTGACTTGAAGGTTTGAAGCTTCTGGAGTCATGGGAAACAGAAAGACTTAAAACTGGTTAGTCTGGTTAACCAGATTAAAAACTGGTTAAGTCAGGATGCAGAAATGCTATAGAAACCCAAGAAAAAAGCATAATAAAAGAGACTGGTGACAACCCACTTAGACATGTGCATTCCTTAAAATATAATTCTAAATTTTTGAAAACATAATTAATAACTACTAAATATATATTGTTTTAAGTGCAGTTAAACAAACATTAGTATTACACAAACATAAATGATCAGAAGAGTTATCATAATCAGTTCTTAGGAGCAAACAGGGTTTTAAACCAAATGCCACAATTTACTTGGTAGAAACATATGCTAATTTTAGCCATAATACTTGAAAGAGATGAACCCTTTGCAGTGATATCTTGTAAACCCAAACTTAAAAACTGAATATCAGGGTCAAACAATATTAGATTAGGAACAATGATCTCAAGTAATTATTTTACAAGCTTTATAGCACTATCTATATCTTGGAACTTGAGTGAAAGCAAAACTTATCTGACTACCAGTTCTCACCTGTACCTCCATATTTGTCTGCCATGTTAATATCAATGTCAGATTTTAAACTCAGCATAGTCCGAAGGACATCATCACTGCCTTTCCCAGCTGCCCACATAAAGGATGTTCTTCCTTCAAGGTCTGGATCATCTTTCACTGAAGGATGTTTTAAAAATACTTTAACTGTTTCCTGTAAGAAAACTTGATTTAAAAAATTGAGATAAAAGAGTAACATTTTCTGTGATAACAAAGACAGAGTCTTGCTCTGTTGCCCCAGGCTAGAGTGCTATGGACTCAGCGTAGCTCACAGCAACCTCAAACTTCTGAGCTCAAGCAATCCTCCTGTCTCAGACTCCTGAGTAGCTAGGACTACAGGAGCACACCATCATGCCTAGGTAGTTTTTCTATTTTTATTAGAAATGGGGTCTTGCTCTTGCTTAGGCTGGTCTTGAACTTCTGAGTTCAAGAGATCCTCCTGCGTTGGCCTTCTAGAATGCTAGGATTACAGATGTGAGCCACCATGTGCTGCCACTCTTTCATTTGACATCCACTAAAAAGCAAAGTATTTTCTCCCTGCTTCTGAGTCAAATAAAATTATTTGTTATAAATGACAAAAACTATAATTTCCATAGAAAATAACAATCCTCTGCCCTTATACAGGGTTGACATAAAGTTCGCATGCAATTTAAAGTTACAACTATTTTAGTTTCCATAACACTTCAAAAATGTAACCTAACTCCCCCATTAAACATCTTTAAAATTGAAAATGATTATCTTTAATTAAGCTTGAAAACTCTGCAGGTCACTGTTAGGGAGATGAAGACTCAAAAGTATTCAGTGTTTTACTTATTTATTAATGACCAAAATTAAAGTATACTTTTTCTTAGGCATTTTACATGCATAGACTCATATATTATGGCATGTCTCCAGAGATTTTTTTTTTTTGAGACAGAGTCTCAGTATGTTGCCCTTGGTAGAGTCCTGTGGCATCACAGCAACCTCAAACTCTTGGACTCAGGGGATTCTCTTGCCTCAGCCTCCTGAGTAGCTGGGACTATAGATGCCTGCCACAATGCCTGTCTAATTTTTTTTGTTGCAGCTGTCATTGTTGTTTAGCTGGCCAGGGATGGGTTTGAACCCGCCAGCCTTGGTGAGTGTGGCTGGAGCCCTAACCACTCTGTAATACGTACCAACAGAGAACGTTTTTAAAAATGGTTAATGCATGTATTGCATATTGATTGGTGGTAACTAAGAAATGTAGTGTTTAAATAGTTTAAACAAATATTTGTTCAGCGATTCCTACATTCAAGCTCCTACTTTTATGGAATCATATGCAATTTAGGACCCTTTACAATTTTATTTGGGGTTAATATTTTAGCACTTTAAACTGCCTCTTTTATCAGATCTCAGATTCATACAAACTTTTAGGAAGATAACAGAAACTTTTTGCTTGAATAGAGGTACAAGAGTTTCTAGTATGTTGACTCTCAGCATTTTACAACAGAAGAATTCAGTCTCTCATTTTACAGATGACGAAATTTAGGTTCAATATTGGTGGCAAATAAGGGAATAGAACTCAGGGTTAAATAACAGAACCCTTTCCAAATAGTCTTAAGACTATTTGTTTGGTTACTGAGGTATATAGCTTAGTGTTCCTAAGGTCTCATGCATATGCTCCTTTGGTATATTTGAATAAAGAAGTAAATTTTAAAAGTTTATGTGGTTTTTTTTTGTTTTTTTCCAACTAATTTATAAACATTTCTTTGTTGAGTATGTTTCTTCTTAATGATGAATGTTTACAGGATTTATTTTGTGTATGTGTATGCTTCAAAAAGAGAGTTATAACCTCTTGTTAGAAAATTTTCATAATTATTAAAATCAACTCTAGAATTGGCTTATTATCCAAAGAAAATATTCATTTGAATAAACATCCATAACATTGTACCATTCTTTCTTACGTCCCTTAGCATAATTACTTTATTATTGGTATCTGTATACATATTAAATTTGGAGTCTAGGACTTGGTTTAAGGTCATGGACAAGTCATTTAATCTTTTGGAACACTAGTTATTTTTTTAATTCTATAAACATGGAATAACATGACTTATAGTTTTGTGTTGTTTTATGGATTGGGGTCTGATTTTCATAGATTGACTAGACTAGGCCAATTGAATTTCTTATCTTTTTGTGATAAGAAAAAGATTTTCCCCAAAATACTACTTGGTATTTTTCTGAAACGTTGGGAGACAATAGAAGATAATGGTTTGCCAAGCTGCTAGGTGATAAATTGAATACATTTTTAGGAATGCCAAGAAGGACAGATGATAGCTATACTTGTTCTGAATACCAGAGAATGAGAGTGTGAAAATAAGATATTTTAGCAATCTGAGTATTCAATAGAGCATTTGGAGAGGTCAGGGAGATGAAATTATACTGTGCTGATGATATTATTATAATTTAATGAAACCCAGGGTTTCACTCCGCACACCCACAGAGATGGCAGCAGAATCTGCTCTAATGTGTGCCTCGCTGGATGGATCTCTGGATCTCGGTGGCCCTTCACACTCAGGAAGCTGAAGTGGCCTAGACATTACCACGCTGCTGAGCGGACTGAGGACATGACTGATGAGAAAGTGCTTTGTGAACTATAAAGGGCTGTAAAGAAAGAACTATTATTATTCAGTATTTTTGGAAATAATAATTCATTTTTGCATTCTCACATGTATAACACACATAATTATTGGCACCAGTAATAAAAAGAACACATTCTGTTTCTCCTTGTTCTATGCCAAGGTGTATGGTAGGCACTTGTCAAATTTTTTCTTTTATCTTTACAATAATCCTAAAAGAAAAGGTATAATTATCCTCATTTTACGTATGAAGAAACTAAGACTCAGGATACGTAACTTGTGTAAGGTCATACAGCTTAGCAAAGTGTATAGACAGGATTCTAGCCAAGCTTTTTGCTGAACACTAAGATGTCCTTTGTGCTATAAAAGTAACAAAAAGATGAAGTACTGTTACAACAAAATAAAAAGTTACCCTGACATCAGATTACATGTGACTAACAACTTTACAAAAACTCAGACTTCACTTACATCACAGAGCTAACAGCACGAACAACTGATAAACCATAACTGCTCCACAAATACAAGCAAAGGAGTGTATGTGAAGCTGGCGAAATCTGAATAAGTGAGCGGGTTGTACCAATGTCAATTTTCTTTTTTTGATATCGCACCAGATGTTACCATTCAGGTAAACTAGATGACGGGTATATGGGATCTTACTATATTATTTCTTACAACTTTATATTAATCCATAATTATATCAAAATAAAACGAAAAACAAGAAAAAGGGGAACTGGCTTATTTTACTTACAGCGAAGTTACTCTGAGCTGCATAGTGCAAGGGTGTTGCCCCTTGGCTGTCAGACGGGATAGTTCCAGACTTATTTCTTTCTAAAAGGAGATGGACAATCTGTGCATGGCCTGAAAAAGACACATACACAAAGGTAATTATCATATAAAATTAAGCTCATTAATTTATAATCTACTGTGATAAAAGTGCAAAAATCACTAGCATTATGCAGCATTCAAAATGGTTTCTGAACCACAACCCTCACTCAACACAGCCTCTTCTAGCTTTTTACTGACACAATGGTAAAGGGTAGAACAAAGGTGAAAACTTAAAACACTAAGTGTTTTAATCAGAAAGGAAATGACATTAATTATAATTGTCAGATGGAGAAAAAACTATCAATATGTTGGGTATCCCCTCATCGCATTTCCTGGCTTTGCTTAACAAGACCGCCTGTGACCAAGGAGGGAAGGTGCTCCAGAGCCCGGCCCTCTGTGCAGACACTGTCCCTGGTCTGGTCTCAAGTTTCCATTGCTCAAATGACCAGAACTGCATGGCTGTTCTCTTATACAGTACAATATCTTTTATCCCTGAGGCTTTATCTCCATTCTCTCTAATCTTCCTCTTTTACCATCTAGGGAATGATTTCCAATTCCAGAAAACAAGTGGGCAAGGTAGTGGTGAGGACTTCTCTGCAGTGCATTCTGGAGGACGTGGTCTCCATGGTAAGGAAATGTAGAAAAAAAATCAGAGAATGAGCAAATCTGGTAATGGTCCACGTAGGAAACCTGAAATGCCCTACACTCTACAGCTTCAGTATATTGGAGAATCAGGCAATGGAGAAGAGAAGTCCTATTAGGAGAGCCCAGATGTACGGTATTGAAGCCAGGCTGAGAAAGTAATTTGAGTGGGAGTTGTGCTTATCTCCCCACTTTCTCCATGGTTTAAGATGGAGCTCTATATAACAAATGTAGGATGAAAGACAATCTATGCCATATAGGTAATGTAAACGTATTTCACCTTGTTTGAGGAATAAGGAGAAAAATTCAGTGGAGACTGTACAGAGACATGCTCTAGGACAGGGAAAAAGGAATACCAAAAGGAAGAAAAAGAGCATACCTCTGAAGATATCTAGAGAACAGTCCAGAGGAAAATGCCAGGAAACTGTTTGGCATCCTGAGCTTAGTGCAAAAGGAGAGGCTTCTACGAACCAGAGACAGAATAGCCTAAGAAAAAAAACAGACTGCAATGAAAAGGTAATGGAAGGGAGTAAAAAGGAAATCAGATGAGATAAAAAGAAATAGGAATAAGAGAAGGAAATAAATATGCAATTTAAAAGATAATCTATATAGGAAGTAAAGAGAAACAGAACTTAAAGAACCAAAGTCGATTTGGTGATGCGGAGGCAGCACTGACAAATATGTCCAGAACCCAGAGGAAAAGGAAAAAGGACGAAACTACACACTGCAATGAAATCTAAATAATAATTATGAATCGGACTATAAAACTGAACACAAATAGAAAAATCACTTTCAAAATAGACAAAATTTAAAAACTTAAATCAAGATCATAACTAACTTGGGGGGGAGACACCAGATTATATTAATGAATACTAAACAAGTGATGAGTACAAGGGTGTTAACTCCTTTAACTTAACATAGGTGGGAATAAATAGTTGCTGTTTTGCTCTTGGCAGTGACTGAGGCTTAAAAAATTTTTAATAAATTTAAAAGTAACCAGCTTGTTGTCTGTAGCACAGTGGTTAAGGCCCCAGACACATACACGGAGGCTGACGGGTTTGAATCTGGCCTGGGCCAGCTGAAATTAATGACAACTGCAACAAAAATTAGCTGGGCATTGTGGGGGGCATCTGTAGTCCCAGCTACCTGGGAGGCTGAAGCAAGAGAATTGCTTAAGCCCAAGAGTTTGAGGTTGCTGTGAGCTGTGATGCCACAGCTCTCTAGGGTGACATAGGCCTCAAAAAAAAATTTAAAAGTAACCACCAATAGAACATAAAAACCCTCCTAAAAATAACCCTCCTAATACTATGTAGTTATTACTACAAAACTAAGTAATAACAAACCTATTCCACATGCCAAACAAAGAAAACAGGGAGAAAACCAAAACAATTAAGAAGAAACTTGAAAATACTAATCAAAGAGAACAGAATAGCAAAAACAAACAAACCAAAACCCAAATTAGTTAGCTTATAAAAGTGACTATTAATGGATAAAACTCCTTTGCTAAAGTATAAAGACTACTCAGATTTGCCCCCCACCACAAAATCTGACACACACACATATATCCCATCTAAAATAGTCTGAAATAGTCTAAAATCCTGAAAATGCGTATCAGGAAAATATAAAGAAAAAAATCACTGCATTAGCACAAACATAAAATTAAAGCCCTCTTCCCTCTAAGTAAAGACTTGAATGTGAAAAGAGGATAATGTTTAATTTACATGTCATCAGTCAAAGTGCATTACTTTTATAGCAAATCTTAAAAATTAGAACATGACATTGAGGCTAGGCATGGTGACTCAAGCCTGCAACCCTAACTCCCTGGGAGACTGAGGCGGGAGGACTGCTTAAGCTCAGGAGTTCAAAAGTAGCCCTAACAGGAAAGAGATCCCTGTCTCTACCAAAAATAGAAAAGATTAGCCAGGCATGGTGGTGTGCTCCTATAGTCCCAGCTACCTAGGAGGCTGAGGCAGGAGGATCCATTGAGCCCAGGAGTTTGAGGCTGCAGTGAGCCATGATGCCACCACTGCACTCTACCCAGACAGAATGAGACCCTGTCTCAAAAGAATCAAAACTGTAAAACAAAACATGATGTTGAAATTAAAACTAACACTTAATAGAATAAATTATGTGACTAGAATTTAATTGAATTTATAAAATAATGTATCAATTAGAAATGGAAATAATTAAATAGGAGGTGGGAGCCAACAGGGGAAGAGAAAGCACAGAAACGTCCCCATAGTCACGCAGTTCCTTCTACTGCTGACCCTTTGCGTCACATACAACTCACCGAGTAAAGCGGCCCAGTGAAGAGGGGTTCGAAACAAGTTATCATAAGATGTAATATTGCAGCTTTCATACGAGGTCAAGACGTCAACCACTGTCACATTCCCATCAGCAACTGCAAAGTGGAGAGGGGTCCGCCCCTCGTAGTCTTGCCAGTTCAGTAAAGACTCTGTCGGAGCAGCATCCTATTTTTAAGGAACCAGAGACTTCAGACACACATGGAATCCTCAATCAAGCAGATGTGGCTAAGTATTAACTGAGCAACTTTGTAAACAAAACATCTACATCTCTCACAGCACAGTGATAATTCCAGGGGAAAGTGTGTAGTCTAAATCTTTAAAAATTTCTTTTCATATTTAATTGTAAAAAGTACAGAAAAGAATATAATATCTATCACATGCTATCTAAAGGTAGCAGCATTTTGCCGAAATGTTTCTGTTTCTGTTATGGATTCAGCTGAAGCTGTACATTTTATACTTTTGTACATAGGGATGTACCTATAAACAACACATACAGTTTATATATATGTTTTTAATATTTGCAGAATGGCAACACACATGTATATCCTTGCACAGCTTTTTCTTTCAACACTACACTTTGGGTATCTACGTTGTTACTAGTTTTGTTGTTGAAGTGCATTAATAAATGATAATTTATTTTTTGAATTTCCTGCGGAAAGAGGTTTAGGTTAGTCCCATTTTTTTCATGATTACAAATGATGTTTGAGTTAATATGTTTCCGTACATGCCCCTGGGAGCACACGTGTGAGCGTTTTCGCTAGGCTGGAGACCCAGAATTGGTATAGCTGGGTTGAAGGAGAGCTGCATCTTCGAGGAGGTGCTGTCACACTGCTCTCTAAAGGGTTTTCCAATTAACACACCCATGACAATGTGTGAAAGTTTTTACTTCCCCACATGCTGGCACAAATTAATCACTTGATGTTATCAAGCTTAACACAATTTTTTTTTCCCTTATGGGTGTGAAAGACATTTTACTGCTGTTTTAACTTGTAGTTCTTTTATGAATGGGGTTGATTTTTTTTTTTTTTTTTTGAGACAGAGTCTCAGTATGTTGTCCTCAGTAGAGTGCCATGGCAGCACAGCTCATAGCAACCTCAAACTCTTGGGTTTAAGCGATTCTCTTGCCTCAGCCTCCCAAGTAAGGGGAACATGGCACCTGCTACAATGCCTGGCTATTTTTTTGTTGCAGTTGTCATTATTGTTTTAGCAGGCCCAGGCTGGGTTCAAACCTGCCAGCCTCAGTGTATGTGGCTGGCGCTGTAACCACTGTGGTATGGGTGATGAGGCAGAGATTTTTTTACTCCTATGTTTATTGCCAGTTTAGTTTTATTTCTCTGTAAGTTGACAGTTTACAACATCGGATCTTTGTAGCAGACATTATGATGTACTTTTTAGGTCCACCCTTTAAGACTAAAGGACTTATTTCTTCACTTGTTGGGAGTGCAACCAGCAGACAACCCTCCACTGTCAGCCTTTTGGAATTGTTTCAGCTAAAAAGCTCTCACCCAAGGTCATGTCCCTTCCCAGGTTATGTCACACCAGAGCCAACGCTCTTGCTCAAATTTGAGAACGCTCTCAAGGGCCATAACAGATTTAGGGCTGCCTGTGTAGTCAGTCTATTTTACTTAAAAAGTACAAAAGAATATCACAAATACTCCAAAAAATTAGAATATTACTAGGATGATATTTTAGGCCCTTGAGTATCCCAAAGAATAAGAAATGTTTGCAAGGAAAAAATAAAGCCAAATCTGTGAAGAAATATGATTTTATTAGTTAGAATTGTCTCCCAAGGACTTCAGATATTAAAATTAATATGCAAAGAATATAAAATAACTATATATAAAACATGCAAGAAAATAAAAAATGGAAGAAAAGTTGAGCAAGGAGGAAAAGCTATTAAAATGATTAGGCAGATACGAAAAAGAACCAAATAGAAAGTGAAAAATATAATAACTAGGATTAAAAACTCAACAGATTGGACTCAGCTAAAGAAAGATTCAGTGAACTGGAAGACAGACCTGAATAACTACCCAGAATGTAGCAGAGACAAGGAGATAGGAATATAAGTTTTATATGAAGAAGGAGATAGGAACAGAAGTTTTATATGAAGGTCATATAATGATCAAATGGAGGATAAAATGAAAAAGTCAAAATATATGTAATTGGGACCCTAAAGGCAAGATTCGAGAGAATGAGAACAAGGCAAAATTTAAAGATAGTAGCTACACATTTTCCAGAACTGAGATATGATAATTAGAATGTATACCAGACAAGATGTTTTTTAAAGGCCATATCTAGACGCACTGTAGTAAAACTGCAGAATATCGAACAAAGAGAAAAAATGTAAAAATAGCCTGAGAGAAAAAGTAGATCATCTATAAGAGAATGACACTTAGACCAGTGACAGACTCCTCAAAAGCAATAGTAAAAGGTGGAAAGTAGAAAAATAATATCCTGAAAGAGCTGAGAAAAACAGGCAGCTAGGATCGTAGATACAGAGAAACTATCTTTTCAAGAGCAAGGTTGAAAGGCAGACATTATTAACACTTAAAAACAAAGAGTTAGCTCGGTGCCTGTGGCTCAAGTGGCTAAGGCGCCAGCCACATACACCTAAGGTGGCGGGTTCGAATCCAGCCTGGACCGCCAAACAACAATGACGGCTGCAACCAAAAAAAAAAAAAA